AAAAAAAAAACCTTAAAAAAGAAAAAGAAAAACTGGAACTCTCATACACTACTGGTGGGCATGAACATGATGCAGTCACTTTGGAAAACAGTTGGGTGAGGTCTTAAAAAGTTTAATATAGAGTGACCACATTACCTAGCAAGTCCCTTTCCTAGGTATATACCCAAGAGAAACAAAAACATGTGTCTACACAAAAAAACGTATACATCCATGTTCATTGCAGCATTATTCACAATAGCCAAAAGGGAGAAACAGCCCAAATGTCCATCAGGTGACAAATGGAAAAAGAAAGTCTGATAAATCCATATGAAAGATTCCTTTTTGGTGCTAAATGGTAGATGCTACAATGAACGTCAAAAGCATGCTAAGTGAAAGAATCCAGATGCAAAAAAACCACCACTTTTAATATTCCATTTATATGAAATGTCCAGAAAAAGCAGATATGTATACAAAGTAGGTCAGTGAATGCTGAAGGTGGGAGGGGGGTAACTGCTAAGGGCTCTTTCTTAGGTGTTCTAAAATGGATTGTGGTGACAGTGACACAACTCTGTATATTTACTAAAAATCATTCAATTGTATGTTTTTAAAAATTCCTACAGAATCAAGGGGGCTCTTTATAGCCCCTTCCCCCAGTTCCTCCCCTCCTCACAGCTTACCCTCAGAAAGGGAGCAAAAAGAATTCATGCATTCTGTTCTGAGCACTGGGCCCTGCCTCCTGGGAGCCTGACTCCATTGAGGGGGCCAGCCTCATCTGTCTGACATCCCAGGCCCTGTTCTGAGGCCCAACATGTAGCAAATACATTGACTCCTTGAATAACACATTTCAAAATTCAAGTATAAGTGGAACCATGCAGTTCAAACCCATGTTGTTCAATGTCAACTATATTTTCAATCTGTGGTTGGGACTCCGTGTATGCAAAGGGGCAACAAGTAATTATATGAGAATTTTCAACTGTGCTGGAGGGTCAGCACCTCTAACCCCCAAGGTGTTTAAGAGTCAACTGTATTCAACTCTCACAACACCTTTGCAAGGTGGGGAAACCGAGGCACTGGGCAGTTTAGCTTTGCACATGTTTACAAGAAGGAAATAGTGAGGGTTTTGAATTACGGTGTGGTGGGCAGAATAATGCCCTCCCCCAAAGATGTCCAGGTCCTAATCTCCAGAACCTGTGAATATGTCACCTCCCATGACAAAGGGACTTTGCAAACGGAATTAAATTAAAGATCTTGAGTTTGAAAGTTATCCTGGATTGTCCAGACAGGCATCTCATAAGAGGGTGGCAGAAGGGTCAGAGCCAGAGAAGAACACGTGATGACAGAAGCAGAGGCTACAGCGATGTGGGGCCTCAAGACAAGGCCAGAAAAACCCCAACAAGGCCGGGAAATTGATTCTCCCCTGAGGCCTCCAGAAGGGACCAGCCCTGCAGACACCAACTTTAGTGATTTTGGGCTTCCTACCTTCAGAATTGTAGGATAGTGAGTGTGTGTTGGTTTGGCCACTAAGGTTGTGATATTTTGTTACAGCAGCCACAGGACACTCACACACCAGACCCAATTCATACAGAACCAGCTAACTTCTCACACTAATGGACGAGCTCCTTTCTATGGAGTCGGTGGAATGTGTTAAAAAACAGAACACATAGGGCCGGCCGAGTGGCTCAGTTGGTTAAGAGCTCGCTCAAGAGTTTGAGCTCTGAGCAACAGGGTCCCCGGTTTGATTCACGGCCCGAGCTGAGCTGCCGCTGAGCTGCCAACAGGTGGCAGGATGGCTCAGCTAAAAAAA